GACCCCCCCACCCCCCATTTCCAGCATATAGGGGAAGGGGCTGGCTTGAAAAGAGCCAGCCCGGGGAGGCAGGCTGCTCTTACTTTAGAAGGCCACGATGGCGAGTGATAAAAGCAGGTGGCTGGGAGACTCCTACTGTGTCCCTGGTTCTTTGTAACTTTGGATGAGACACTTGACTGGTCTAAACCTTAGTTTCCCCATTACTCATCCACCTTTCCTAAGTGGGTTTAGATCTTTATCTGACAAGCGCCTCTCTATTCCCGGGGAGGCAGGCTGCTCTTACTTTAGAAGGCCACGATGGCGAGTGATAAAAGCAGGTGGCTGGGAGACTCCTACTGTGTCCCTGGTTCTTTGTAACTTTGGATGAGACACTTGACTGGTCTAAACCTTAGTTTCCCCATTACTCATCCACCTTTCCTAAGTGGGTTTAGATCTTTATCTGACAAGCGCCTCTCTATTCAGATACAGTTGTATTAAAGCTCCCCCCTCTGCTGCTTACAGTCCAAATTGAAAGTCAGATGTTTCGTATTTGGCCTTGAGGCAGTGACTTTTTACTGAGTACGAAGTGAGCTACACTGATAGAAACCTGTAACAGGCCCCTTCCTATGTGGGCTGCGCTTTTGAGTGTCCTGCAGCGGTTTAGTGGAACTCCATAGTTGTGGAGACTGCAAACATTCTGACCTCCCTCTGACAATGGCTTAGGCTGACATGGTCAAACTCTGTGTTACTCTACACTCTGGACAAGCCCATTGAGTTAAATCAGGACCTAATTAGATGTGGTAGGTTTAAAACAGAGACACAATTAAACTATTTGCCTACAATCCAAACCTAATGTGTGAGCATCCTGTGCACACCAAGAGGCTGGTTGGGTTTCATTTAATTTTCTCCCCCTCCTCCGGGGGTAACCCTATCCACCCCTGCAGCATTCTGCTTTCTCCACCTGCCACATCATCCTCACTTGTGAAAATTCCAAGTGGGACTTGGCTGATCAGTGTGAATATTATGAAGTGTCATGTGGAGATCACAGGTTTTAGAAACTGGAGATAGCATGTTGAACGGCCAGCTGTGCACCTGAGGGATATGCTGTCAGCTGCAGAGTCCTGAGAAATGGTGCTGAGGACTGTTGTCTCCCCCTAGAGCCACCCTTATCCAAGTTAGAGACTGTTAGAATGAATGAGACTAAGTGGATCTGATTGGTAGCCCATAATAGATCTGTTTTTATGGATCTCTACATGCTGCTACTGTCTCATGAGGGATGAGTACAGTTTGAATGTTTAGTCCAGTTTATGTAGTGTTTGGCTTTCACAAACCCCTGCTGATTCATCTGCCAATTAACTATAAAGAGATCCTTCACTAGTATGGAATTGAATTGCTAGCCAGTGTGTTTTACAACATTTAGCAAGATGCTGCATGTGAGTTTTTTTTCTAGAGGAACAGTACTTCCCTGCTAGTTTACTGATCCTATCGTAGTGCTGTAAATGCTAGTTTGCTCCAGTTAGCTTTTGTTATATGAACTTATTTAGGAGAATAACCATGTAATCAATTGGGGGCTTTATTGTTAATGTTTGTAAGGGAATTTGCCTGTCAGAAGCAGCAAAGCAGAATGCTTGGCTTAGGGATGTGACAGGTTAATCCAGTGGTCCCCAACCTTTTGGGACTGCCGGGGGCGGGGGCTGTGCATGAGCTGCGCCCCCGGGAGCAGCGGCCGTGCATGTTCCAGGCGCCTGGGGCACAAGAATGGCTCGGGCTGGTCACTAGATGGGTGTACATAAATGTCCTGGCAGGCACCATGGTGCCCGCGGGCACCGAGTGGGGACCATGTTAACTGGTAAGCATCACCCTTAATGGGCGATACTTACTGTTTGGTTAATTGGTGGGGCTGGTGTGCATGTGTGCGCACTCCAGCTCAGCTGATTTAACTGTTTAAACAGTTAAATGGGATTTTACATCCCTAGCTTGGTGGTTATAGCTTTTGTGAAAGACGAGTCATTTCATCCTCTGCCAGACTCTGTAACTGCCTTAATTCCTCTCCCTCC